GAGATGAGGATGCTGAGATGGGCCTGCGGCTGGACGCGGCTGGACAGGGTCAGAAACGAGGATGTCATGCAGACTGCCCCTGTCCAGCTGAAGGTACGGGAACAGCGTCTGCGATGGTATGGGCATGTGCTAAGGAGGCCACAGGATCATCCGATAAGAACAGCGATGGACTTCGAAGCGCAAGGCAAGCGACCGCGAGGAGCCCCAAAGAAGAGGTGGAGAGACGTATCAAGAAGGACCTAAGTGAAGTCACGGCCACAGCAGAAGATGCCCTGGACAGAGCAAAGTGGCGACGACTGACAAAGACAGCGGACCCTGCGACTGCGCGGGACTAACGCTAGGGAGAAGAAGAAGAGTGCCATTGACCCGGTGTCTATGCCATCTTATCCGTTGTGCTCTCTCACCTCTGCTCTCTCATGCGCGCTCGGTGTCTCTTCGTTATAGATAGTTCGACTTACAAAAACAAAAGCCCTTGAGGGCGTTATTGACGTTTATCGTCAGTGTCGGTCCACTTCGCACCTCTGCTTTTATTATCGTATGCGAATCATACCAATTTGACCGTGTGGTGTGCCCCTAAACCCACAGCCACTAAAAACTATGCCTCTATGTGTTTGCGGATGACAAACAAGTAGTTCAGAATTTTCGTTTATAAAGTCTAATCAATGTACACAATTACAATGGAGAACACAAATTAACGTAGATTACAAGAAATGGTGTATACAAGTGGGGTGGGCACGCCACATTTTTTGAACAGAAATGTATGTAAGTGGGACTGCTGCCCGCTACTATACTGTCACGAGAATCGGGGAATTCGTGAGCCAGGGGGAGTAGCCGGGTGTGGTTCACTAGGGCAGAGAGCGATTTTTTCGCGCCCCGCAGCGCGGAACGTTTTCCGCTGCGGGAACCTCGGGTTCAGAGGTGGGCCTGAGATTCCCGCAGTGAAAAAAATTCGCTTTCTGTCCTAGTGAACCACACCCTGAGTAGCCAATCTAGGGGTGGGGGAGAGGGGGAGGGGTGAGGGCGGTCACTTGACATGCGTGAAAAGCTGGGCGTGCCCACCCCACTTGTACATAGCCTATGAAACCTTATTTCAAACTCGAAAATATACAGAATTTTCAAGGCGAAAATGAAACCTGCACTAGCGAGCAGTCGCACAGCGATGCCACAGTAACCTTCGGCTGCAGGAAACGATTGCCTCCCGAGGTAGACAGTATGGCTATGGCATTGCCAGCTAGCGGCAGCGCTTCGTACGACATTTATTGATTAATAAGCGATGCGACTGTGCGCGACACAGGAGTGATCTATGAGAAATGTATCACAAAATCTATCTGTTATCTGAGGAATTCACTAACAAATCACGCATCACAAGGAATTTTTGTCAAATCGCGCTAACAGCGATGAAGAAACAAATCCGAGGACTTTCTGAATGCCATATAAATCTGTAAATGGATCAACCGAAAAGAAAAACAAGGAACCCTCAGCAGTGTGAGAACACAAAGTAACCGAATGCAGTGAAGTAACGCGTAATATAAACGAAAATCATCGCTGGAGGTAAGATTTAGATCACATATGACTGAAAGATAACAATGAGAACAACAGAATCCGTTCTGAGCGAGACCACCTTCAACCGAGCGAGACCACATTCAATAGAAACAAAAACAACAAAATCAGGTAAACGAATCATTATCAACTTGCTCTACCGTAGTTAAGTGACACTTCAACTCCGAGTAATCCCTGACGTGACATAACCTGCTTAAAGCAGAAAGATCGAAATCATCGTTCTCAGATGCAACTGCGAATCCTAGAAGGGACTCCAATGAGGCTTCTCGCATTTTACGGCGTACCTTAGAATAAATAGGATGATAGGCATGGGAATATTGAAGGAAAAATCACACAAATGAACACGGTCGACCACATTGCGTTGGAAGACTTTTCCAGTACATTTTTGACTTACATTCCAGTCATCTGGAAGCCCATCTGCTTGACACTGTTTGTTTTCAGTTGAAGTAGCGTTATTCTCACAGGTGGCGCGGGGTACAGGCTGCAAGAGAGATACGCAGCACAAATCGCTGAACTGAAATTGCAATCACTTCAAAGAACAAGAATGAATACAACTGGAAAAAGCGGTGCCTCTGAAGTATTACTGCCCCATTCTCGATGATTTCACTCGCTCCTTCTGAGAAAAAATCATACTCAGGTTTCTAGATTGAACACAGTGAGAAAAAGCAGGAAATGACATAAATTTTCAGCAACAAATCCCGGATTGATCCAATATATTCACCGGGAACCGGCATTCTCGTTATTTATGTCGTACAAGAGGATTACTTCTGCCCAGTTCTCATAAGCATACACAGAAAGAGGCAAGCGCATTCAGGTCAATCAGTCCTTCTGGGATGAACACAAACCCCACGCCCACTCACCTCCCACCTCACTCTCGCTCCCACCTCACTCGCCCGACAATTATCATATTCAAGTCAGTGTTTTTATCCTCCCAGACAAGTCTGGTACCAATTAACCGACCCCGGAGGGATGGAAGGCTTGGTTGGCCTGGGCGACTCACGACCCAGGATTCGATCCCTACACCGCGCGTGGTATGCGGCACCACTTGCCACTGTACCACTTCCACCCAGCGTATAATAATATATGAATAAGAATTCGGCTATTGCAATCAATCATGGTGACGAATCAATACATGTTAGAGTTTTACCTCCAGGACGATTCCGAAAGGTAGAGGGTTTGTTTCCGACGGGACTGAACCAGGGATTTCTAATCGGCGCCGCTTACGACCATATCGTTCAAACCCAGCAAGGAAAACCAGAGATAAGATATACAAAGATAAGGTATACAAAGTAGAATTGACAGTCGACCACACACCAGGTAAACCCAGCATTTGGCTAGGAATATGTGCGAATGTTTCAGATCCATTTTCGTTTCCAAATCGATCTACCGTTGAATTATTGGCGAAAACAGAAGCTGCAGCTCCAAATCGAGAAATGTTCTTCCAGGCAACGTCATTCCGTGGCAAGCTCACCTGAATATACATAGTTCAGCTGGACTTAGAGGAAGTTGTACCGTATGAAATCATGGAGAACAACTTCTCAATTTTCAAAGTCATAAATGTGTTTTACGAGATTTTGGTGGCGAAAGCAGCCTAAACGATTTAGGTCTAAGCTAACGTACCCGTCTTGTAGGTAACCCTACGGTTGTGGTAGGTACTGCACTTCCACCAGCCATTTCAACATCGACACTGCTCGACATTGTGACGTTGTGCACTTGAAAGCTACTTTGCAGGTTTTCCTTGCCGCTGAAAACGGAAAACTTTGGAAATTGAATCGCCTACCATTCGTCACCACACAACCTACTGATATCGCCGAAAAATGTTCATATGCTCCTATGAAGTTTCATCAAAGCACCATTCAAGGAACCATCGTAATAGTTTCTAATGGCACCATTCGCGCTCATGGGAATGGAGGGCGCATTCGCATACGGATACCAGACTAGTAGTCAATCAAAGGGCTCCTTGTCCGCCTACTACTGGTCGAACTCCGCTCATGCTTACCGGAACTTGCACTATCACCTTTACACTTTGCTATCTACAGAATTTACTAAT